TGACTGAGAGCTCTCTTGTCTTGAGGAAGACGCCAAGGAGGAGCCACTGACAGAGCCACCAGGTCGCGAGGCCAATGGGGGGCGATGATATCAGCTCGGCCTCCTCGATGAGAAGCTTCTGGATGACCTTGGGAAGAATCGCCAATGGTGGAAAGGCGTACAGAAGCCCTGGTGGCCAGGGACTCTGAAGAGCGTCTACTGCTTCTGCCCCCTGGTCTGGAAACCGCAAGAAGAACCTGCTTGTCTGATGATTCTTGCTAGAGGCGAACAAGTCAACAGCTGGAGCCCCGAACTGTCGGGAGATCTGGCGGAAGATGGCTGGTCGAAGACGCCACTCGCCCTGGTCCACTGTGGCCCTGCTGAGAAGATCTGCTTGCACATTCGCTGCTCCGGAGATGTGGGTGGCTCTGATGGATTCCAGGTGTTTCTCCGACCATAGGCCCAGCAGGTCGGACTCCTCCATCAGATGTCGTGACTGCGTTCCCCCTAAGCAATTCACGTGGGCCTTCGCTGCTACGTTGTCTGTCCTGACTAGAACGTGAGTGCCCTCCAGCTGGTCCTGGAATGCCCTCAGAGCTAAGTGGATGGCTCCAACCATTTGATACCATTGGATAGATCGGCCTGGCTCCAGCAACCCTGAGCAAACAGGTTCCCCAAGTGTGCACCCCAGCCGAAGAGACTGGCATCGGTGGCCAGGACCAACAGAGGAGGTTCCCTGAAAAAACGTCCCTTGGATAGGGCCGGAGACACCCACCAGGTCAGAGAAAGAAGAACTTTGGGTGATAGCCGAACTAGGGTGTCGGAAGAACTCATGAGGGACTGTTGAAAAGGTAGGAGGAACCACTGCAGAGCCCTGCAATGGAGACGGGCCCAAGGGACGATCCCTATACAGGACACCATCTTCCCGAGAAGCTGTGACAACCAACGCACTGGAACTGGCTGCCCTAGAGAGACCTGCCTCACCAGGGACCGCAAACTGATCAGGCGCTCTTGTGACAGATAAACCTTGCCCTGAATAGAATCTATTATGGCCCCCAGATGTTGAATACGAGTCGTCGGTACCAGGTGGCTCTTGGCCTCATTGATCGAGAAACCATGACTTTTCAGGACCTGAATGGTGGTGAGCAGGTCCTGATGTGCTAACTTCTCCGAGATGGACTGGATCAATAGATCGTCCAGGTAAAACTGGATCTGAATGGGAACCGCTCGGAGGGAGGCCGCTAGTGCTGCCATCAATTTGGTGAACACTTGGGGAGCTGAGGAGAGTCCAAATGGAAGAGTCCGTAATAACAGTAATGACGAGACGCCAGACAAAAGCGAAGAAATTTGTGATGGGCCAAACAGATGGGAACATGAAGATACGCCTCCGTCAGATCGATAGATGTGAGGACGTCTCCCTCCTTGATGGATTCTAGGATGGATTGAAGAGATTGCATTTTGAACCGACGGTAGATTATGCGACGGTTCAGGGACTTCAGGTCGAGAATGGCCCTCCAACCCCCCGATGACTTCTGGACGAGGAACAAGCGGGAGTAGAACCCCTGTCCTCTTTGGTCCACTGGAATCGGTTCAATGGCCCAGATTTGAAAGAGGTGCGCCACCGCCTCCTCCAGTAGAAGCTGTTGAGACCTGTCCCGCAAGAGAGGGACCCAGAGGAATCTTGGGGGGGGGGGTAGATAGAAATTCTAAAGATAGTCCCTGGGAGACCGTCTCCCTGACCCAGGCATCTGAGGTCAATGCCTCCCACTGGCTGGCAAAGAGCACCAGGCGGCCTCCTATGGGAGGGTCGGGCAAAGAGTCAGCTAAACCTGCGGGAAGAACGACCCCTCCCCCCTCTGAAAGATTTGCGACCTTGGCCGCGGCATCCAGGACCCAATTGTCTGTCCTGGGATCTATCTTGCCTGGTAGATTGAAATCTTTGGGACCTGGAGGAAGGAAAACTCGAGGGGGGGTTCCGAAAGGGCCAAAAGGAAGAAGGGGAAGGACGACCTTCTGACCTTCAGGACAAGCTAGGCAGGGCCTTCCTCTTATCCTTGGATTCGATAAGCAAGGGCTCAAGAGGAGGACCAAAGAGAAGGTTCCCCGAATATGGGGAAGATGCCAAACGCCACTTATTCTTAGTATCAGCCTGCCATTGGCGAAGCCAAAGGAGGCGGCGAGAGGTGATGCTGGAACCAATGGATTTAGCTGCAAATCTGGAGGCGTTAAGAGTGGCATCTGCAGAATACTCCAGAGCCACTATAATTTTATTGATATCCTGGTGAGCCATAGTATCAGACAAAGGTAAGCAACCCTGCAGTTGTCTAACCCACATAAGGGTAGCCCTGTTAAAGAAAGAGGCTGCGTGTAATGACCTCTGGAGAAGCCTCACACTGACCGCTGATTCTCCAGACCTGCTGAGTTCAGAGTAAGCCACAGCCAGGAAGCGTATGGAGCAACACCCCAGGGACGCCAAATTGGGTCTGCCAGCCTGCAGACCCACCGCAGTAAAAGCGGTCCTCAGCGGAATTGGGCGTGAGCCTGTCTCGCTGGAGAAAGCAGAGCTCAACCAGGTCCCTGGGAGCTCTGCAATCCTGCAAAGAAGTAAAGAAACTAACTACCAAAAGGAATTATTATCTAAATTAAAGAATAATTCCCAGCTCAGCCAAAATAGGTCTAACCAGAACGACTGAGTCTGAGATCTGGGAAATCAGTGGATGTGGGAGGAGCTTCACAAATTGCAGACTCAGTCATCTCCGGAACTGCAAGTTAACCCTGTAATGACTGCTGGACCCTCGCTATAGTAGAATTGCAAAGCTCTTTCCATAGGAGTATGTTTCATTGTGATAATTTCCCTTTATTCTTTCTATGAGGGATGTTTTTTTTATTTCTAGCACTTGAGCCTAGTTCTCTTGTACTGTCAAATTTATCCCCCTCGTTGTTTCATGGGCTTGAGCTTTCCTTCTAGAGAAGTTCTATAATTACATCAATCGTTTTAATTTGACTCTTACAATCTATTTTAAAGTCAAATATAGACTTGCTTCACATATATTGCTTGATAACAAATGAACTCTGTGGGGCTGTTCTCTTTAATAAGTTGTTTCACTTTTGGCAGAAATCTTTGTTACAAGTTAACCAATAATACATAATGCACACAGATCCTTCATTATTCCGTATCCAGTAAAATATAATTAACTGGCTTGGGGTATAATTGAAAGCTATGGTTTCATTGAAAGTGGAAGTAATTCATTAAAGCACTGCATATAGTTTAAGAATGGAAAAAGCTGGTTGAAAAATCTATCGATAGTGAGCAAGGCAGCAATTACAGACAAATGCATAACAGGGGTTCGTTTAAATAGGTCAAGGACAGGAGATCTGTAGCATTTCAAAAGTGTCTGTAGCTCTAATGTTACCCAGCCTATAAAATTGAATTAGAAGGAGTTACAGTTCCTCAATTTCTGGAAGCCTATAAGCTTTTATGCAAAACATACAACTACCTACGAATTTTGGAGATTATACTGGGCCCACTTAAGTGTATGGGTGTAGCAAAAAAAATAATAGAATCCATCATTTTTTGGATGATGAATCTTGGATCTCGGAGTCTTAGTGGACAATCATTTAGATATGAGCCATGTGCAGTGTGCTGCAGTTGCCAAAAAAGCCAACACAGTTCTAGGCTGCATAAACAGAGGGATAGAATCAAGATCACGTGAAGTGTTAATACCACTTTATAATGCCTTGGTAAGGCCACACTTGGAATACTGCATCCAGTTTTGATTGCCACAATGTAAAAAAGATGTGGAGACTCTAGAAAGAGTGCAGAGAAGAGCAACAAAGATGATTAGGGGACTCAAGGATAAAACATATAAAGAACGGTTGCTGAAACTGGATATGTTTAGTTGAATGAAAAGAAGGACTAGGGGCGACATGATAGCAGTGTTCCGATATCTCAGGGGTTGCCACAAAGAAGAGAGAGTCAAACTATTCTCCAAAGCACCTGAGGGTAGAACAAGAAGCAATGGGTGGAAACTAATCAAGGAAAGAAGCAATTTAGAACTAAGGAGAACTTTCCTGATAGTTAGAACAATTAATCAGAGGAACAACTTGCCTCCAGAAGTTGTAAATGCTGCAATACTGGAAGTTTTGAGACTAGATAGCCATTTGTCTGAAGTGGTGTAGAGTTTCCTGCCTAAGCAGGGGGTTGGACTAGAAGACCTCCAAGGTCCAGGGGTGGGTTTTACTTACCTTCACTACTGGTTCACAACGGGATTGCATGCACGCACTCGCTTCGCTCGCGTGTGCGCCTTGCTTATACAAATGCGCAGAAGCTTCTGCACATGCGCAGATCGTTGATGATGACATCTGGGGCGGTGGGCGGACCCACCATTGCCAAGGTCCCTTCTAACTCTGTTATTCTATTCTATTCTATTCTATTCTATTCTATTCTATTCTATTCTATTCTATTCTATTCTATTCTATTCTATTCTATTCTATTCCATTCCATTCCATTCCATTCCATTCCATTCCATTCCATTCCATTCCATTCATTTTTCATCACTGTTCTTGTTATAAGAGAAATTCCCAAATTGTGCACAAGGAAAAATAAATTCAGTTCAACCATCCCCTCAGCAGAAGACCTCTGAAGTGTGGATATCTCAAATGATTGGACTGTAATATAAAATTATCCATGGCCAACATTTGTTTTCTTCCAATCTAAAAATACATTCAAGTCTTATTTCTTATTCTTTCACAAGATGTATTCAGTTCAAGAGTGTGTTCTGTTAATTATAATTCAAAAAATAATTACTTTATTATCTTAAGTTAGTTGGTTTAAGTTTCCTGCTTTATAATAAGCAGCTGACATATATAATCAAATCTCATTAAAAAACAAGGAAGGTTATCTCTACCTACTGTGCAATTAAATGCAAAGATGGGTATTCTAATTGACAGGCCTTTTTCCAGATAGGCTTTTTCGCAGCACCTTTAAAATAATTAATTGGTAATGGAGGACATTTTCTTACTTGTGAGAGATGATTGTGGGAGGCAGCTGTTTGTGATCACCAGCCAGGATACACTTCCTAACCTTCAGCAGTGGGATCCAACAGCTTGCTTCAAGAGCTTGAGCACATTCATCAATCACCACAAGATCAAAGTGGTTCTCGGGAAGAAGCTTCAACGGACCATCAGAAGAAGCACCTAATTAAAAACAAGATTAAAAACTATACTGAGCCTTTCAGCACTGCAAAAATGGAAAAGGACTAGTTGTCTTAAAAGATTGTCTTCTGATTCCTTGGTACTTTCCGAGTGTGGTTGTTTGCCTGCAGATGTTTCATTACCTGCTTGGAGAGCACCAAGGACTCCATAATTCAACCCTGATATATATATATATATATAAAATGACACAATTCTCTCTCTCTCTCTCTCTCTCTCTCTCTCTCTCCCTCCCTCCCTCCCTCCCCCCTTCCCCTCTCTCTCTTTATATATATAAAGTGTTTTTCGGTCGAAGCACCTGGTCTACCCCAATATGGGAGGGAGCATACTGTTTCCCTTTCGCCTTTCAGCTCCAATCCAGGAGCCCTCAAGCAGTTGCATTCACGACAAACTATTTTATACCAAATTTATAGTTGCTGATAAAGAAATAAAGGGAGACTAGTATAGATCTATTTCAAGCTATTTAGCTCTCATCAGCTAGCTATACCCTTACTCGGATTCAAATCCAAGTAAGGGTATGGCTAGCTGATGACAGCTAAATAGCTTGAAATAGATCTATACTAGTCTCCCTTTATTTCTTTATCAGCAACTATAAATTTGGTATAAAATAGTTTGTATATATATATATGTATGTATGTATGTATGTATGTATGCATGCATGTATGTATATGTATATGTATATGTATATAATCATTATTGCCATTCTTCAAGTTGTATGATTTTCAATTACATGCAAATAAAGTTTCCAATGATATCAATTTTCCTTTCCACCAGAACATTCTTCTACTGAATAATAATAGAAATGATGCATTACCTCCTTGAAATCAACAGATTTCAGAAAGCTAAGCAGGGTTGGGTTTGGTTAACAGCTGGATAAGAGGCCACCAGCAAATCCCAGAGCTGCAGACTTAATTTAGGAACTCATAAAAATCCCAGAAGACAGCTGTGGCAGATAGTTGCCAGAAAACACCACAGCCATGGTCATGCCAGTTGCACCCTCCTTGTAAAATTCTACCTTTTTATTCACAACTGTTTATTTGCTATAAGAAATCTATCAGTCAGAAGAAGGGGCAGAAGAAGATCTCATCAAACAGCTAGATGAAGCAGAAAGGAAACTCCAGAAAATACCTGGAGATACTGTAGCAAAAGAAAATTGGATGGTGTGGAGACATAAATTAAATATTCTAGATCAAGAAGAGCTAGCCCAAAAAATAAAAAGAACAAAACAGCACTATTTTGAGAACGCAAATAAATCGGGCAGGTGGCTGGCCTATAAATTAAAAAAGGAAAATGAAAAAGGGACAATCCAGATATTAGAAGACGCTGAGGGAAATCTCTTAAATAAAGAAGAAGATAAACTAGAAAGAGCGAGAGAGTACTATGAATCCCTATACAAAGAAGAGGAGACCTCGGAGGAAAAAATAGATCAATACTTGGCAAAGGCGGAGCTCCCGCAAATAACGGAGGAAGAGAAGGAGATGCTAAACGCTAAGATAACAATTGAAGAGTTTTAAAAAGCCCTTTCCAAACTCAAAAACAACAAATCACCTGGCCCAGACGGATTCCCAGGAGAAATATACAAAAAATTGGAAGAAATTCTACAACCCAAATTAATGGAAATTTTCAATGAGGTTTTGACGGGCTCAAAAATTCCTGACTCGTGGAGGGAAGCTCATGTTACACTACTGCCGAAAGAAGGTGCCGACCCAAAAAAAATTCAAAATTATAGACCGATCTCACTTCTAAACACTGATTACAAACTATTTATGTGTATAATGGCAGAAAGAACCAAAAAAATATTAAATAATTGGATTCATAAAGACCAAAATGGATTTCTCCCGGGACGACAAATTAGGGACAATTTGAGAATTGTACTAGATACTCTAGAATACTACGAAGAACATCCAGAAAAGCAGCTGGCCTTAGTTTTTTTGGATGCCCAAAAGGCATTCGATAATCTAAACTGGAATTTTATGACCAAGCAAATTAAAATAATGGGATTCGGGCAAAATTTCGAAAAAATGATGAAAACTATCTATGATAATCAGAGGGCGAGCATTCTAGTAAATGGAGACAGGACAAGAATTTTTCAAATTAAGAAAGGTGTAAGGCAAGGCTGCCCTCTGTCACCGCTATTATTCATTTTGGCTCTGGAAGTTTTGCTACGAAACATTAGAAACAACAAGGAAATCAAAGGCCTAAAAATTAGAAAAGAGACTTATAAAACGCAAGCCTTTGCGGATGACGTGGCGTTAATATTAGAAGATCCATTAATATCTGGACAAAAAGTATTAGAGGAATTGGGTAAATATGGAGAGGTGGCAGGCTTTAAATTGAACAAATCTAAAACCAAAATACTTACTAAGAATGTAACTGAGATACAGAAGAAAGAGATAGAAGAAACTTTGGGCCTACAAGTTGTCCCAAAAATAAAATACTTAGGAATTTGGCTAACCAAAAGGTGCTCATCTCTAAAAGAAGATAATTATACTCCATTAATTAATAAATTAAAACAAGATCTGGATAGATGGAAAAAGATCAAATTATCACTTATTGGCAAAATTGCAGCAATTAAGATGAGCAACCTCCCCAAGATCTTATTTTTATATCAAAATTTACCAGTAATTTTAAAGAATTTTTTTTTTCAGAATTAAATAAGACCGTTAGAGAATTTGTTTGGGAGGGAAAAAAATCAAGGATCTCACTTAAAATTCTACAGGAAAAAAGGAATGTGGGAGGATTTGGACTCCCAAATTGGGAAATGTATTACAGAGCAGCAAAGCTGATATGGATAAAGGATTGGATCACCTTGGAGAATAAGAGAATCTTAGTGTTAGAAGGACATGACCTACAGAAAGGGTGGCATGCATATCTATGGGACAAAGACAATAAAAAGAAAACCTATTTCCACAGGCATAAAATTAGAGACTCCCTAATACAAACGTGGGTGGGAATTAGGCAGAGATACTATTCAAAAGTCCCAAACTGGCTTTCCACGGTAGAGGCAATGATCTACCCCAACAGGTGGGGAATGGAGAAATTGTGCAGATACAAAGACATTGTCGATGGAGGGGGAAATATTAAATCAAATGAAGCCCTGAGAGACCAAGGTATAACCTTAGATTGGTGGATTTATCTGCAAATAAAATCAAGATACCAGAAAGATAAAGAAGAGTATGGCCTAGAATTAGGATATAATGGATTAGACAAAATTTTGATGGGACCAGGGAAAAAAGCATTGCAAGCTGTATAAATCTATAGACAGAGATGATGATATAATTAAAATCAAGAGAGAGAAAATTGGACACATTGAATTAATAATTAGAAATCAATTGAGAAATATTGACAAATTTACATTTAATTTTATGAAAGAAGCCTGAATAAAAATTATAAATTAACTAGAGCAGCCATATAAGGAAAATCACTACTTGCATAGGTGGCATTGGCACCTGCAAGACTAGCAAAGATGTTCCCCAATGCGCAGTCAAATTGTTGGAAATGTGGCCATGGCACCTTCTTTCATACGTGGTGGACATGCCCCGAAGCAAAAAGGTACTGGAGCAAAATTCGGAGATGGTTGAAAGACATACTTAAAGACTTCCGGTTTGCAAGCTTCGGCGACAGCGGTGATTTTTTAAAGACCGCCAGCCCCGCCGCCTGTAGAGCCGCCCCGCGAACGAGGAGCAGCTCGAAAACTCCGAAATCTCGAAGATTGTAGGAGCAGAGACAGCAGGGCACAGGTTGAGCCCCTGTAACCCCCCCAGGGAATTGCTTCTGGGGAAGAAAACAGGCGCAGCTCCCTCCCAACCTGCGGAGACTCCGGGCGGCGCGGGACGATTCTGCCTTCAGCAGAACAAGCCGGCAGCAGCAAACTTTTAAAGTGAAAGGAACTAACCCTAACAAACAGCGGAAATACCAACTTGAATCCAGAAACTTGAAAATTGCAAGTATTAGTGCTTTGTTGACTTTTTAAATCAAAAGAGAAAGTGAGTGAGTGAAAGTGATTTGAAAAAATATGGCACCCAGCATTTGAGTTAACGAGCTAGTGAAAGTGGATTTGTGAAGCCTTCCTGCTTTGCTATAAAGTTACAGAGCTGCTACAAAGTTGCTTTATCTAAAGGAAAAATTTCTTTTTCTAAAAATTTGACTTTGTTTTACTTCAGTTCTATTTGATTAAATCTGGGGGACTTTTTTAGAAGTCTTTGTCCAGGAGGGAAAGGAAAAGGAACTTCCCTCTTCAGAAAAACTAGCCTACGTGGCAGAATGACTTCAAAGAAGCAGGAAGGGAAGGCAACAGGGGGGGGATCCCCCACACACAAACATGAAACGCAGCTTCCCCCTGCTCAACAGTTACAGACTCAGAAAAAAGAATTTGATGTGGGAGATTTAAAAGAATTTATTTCTAAAACTTTGGATGATAAATTTCAAAAATCTCAACAGGAGATAGATGATAAACTTCAAAAATCACATCAGGGGATAGATGATAAACTTCAAAAATCACACCAGGAATTTATGCAGGAAATTAATGAAGTTAAAGATATGGTGAAACAGAATCAAAACAAGGTGACCAAAAAAATATCAGAAGTGGCATCTGGCCTGGCAGAATTTATTGGGAAAGTTGATTTTAAAGTTGAAGAACTTAAATCAGAAGTTAATGTTAAGATGAAAGACAATGATTATAAAATTGCTGATGTTGACAATAAAATGCAGAGAGTTGAAGACGAGATTGTCATGATACAATTCAGGGCAATGGAGTTTGCTATACGGCTTCGAGGAATTCGAGAGGAGGAAAGACAGGATTTGAGACAAGTTTGTTCTGAGGCCCTGGCTAAGATTTTACAAGTTAATCCAGATGTGGTTTTTCACAAAATAGACAAAATTTACAGAGTGAACTCTTGGGTGGCCAGACAAAGACAATTACCTAGAGACGTAGTCATATATTTTACAGATAGAGAAATAAGAAACGATATCCTGCAAAAATCCTT